ATTTTTGACTTAGCTATAGCAATTTCCAACATTATATTATGTAAGCTTCCCCAACCGTTGTTACTATTGTGGAGTGGCTCTGCAAACCCATTATCAATGAGATTACCCAAGAGGGGTTCATGCTCTTGTCTTGAATTCTGCTCTCTAATGAAATTCAAAAGCTTATTTCGTTTACTTGCATCAGACAGCTTACTTCGATTTAAGCTTCCCGTTCATTGGCAACATTTTGGGCAGATTTAATTCGCTCGTCATAATCCCATGGGTGCCATGTGCATGCAGAATCTTTGCCTAAAACCCCATTTGTAGTAGATTTGTTTCCTTCGTTTACATTTCCGAATGGCGAAAAGTAATAAGCAGCATTATTAAGCTCCCCTGACATAATGGAAAGCCATTTCATATCACTGGGGATTAGTTCTACAGAAAATCTTACTAAATAACCAGCAACAGTGTATGATTGCTTCTCAATATCTGAAATTTCACTCACTAACTTTTTAGCATACCTTTGCATACCTATGTGGCCTTCAGAACAATTTGCCCCACATATGATAAAATTATCATTTTCACTTTGAATGTGTTGTGCCGCATTAATGAAAGAGACAAGCCATGCTGTAGCCTCTTCTTCTTTGCCAAAAGGAGCACCATCTGCCCCTAATGCAACCCTAAAGTGATATATTGGCAGGCTTCCAAAATGCCTAATAAACGAATTAGACCCTAATGCTTGATCAATTAAGATATATAGCTCTGCTAATACTAAAAGATAACTACAGAGATCTCTGTAAGACCCACTAACTGGATCTTCAAACGCTTCTAACCCTTGACAAAAGGCATGAGAAAAGTCTTTGATATCGTCAATGTCGACAGACTTAACAAATGCAATAAGCTTATCGTAGTATACAAGTTTTGCATTAGCGATTGTAGGAGAAGATTCTGTGCATGGTACTGAAATAATGCTTCGACATATAGCTTTGTATTTTTCTTTTGAGAGAAGTCCTTTTGTATACAGGACCTTCAAGCTTCTTACCAAGTTATCATGGCTCTCTTCGTACCCTTTAGTTTGTGTTTTAACTACCATGGGAATAATCTTTTGCATTTTGGGTGATGCTTCAACATATGAATGCAGCTGTTGTTCAGAACATTCATTGGCTAACGTTACCCATAAACCATCAAGGGCAGCTTTGTTACCTAGACAAATTATAAATGAATGGAGATTTTTGGTCAGAATGTGAATGTAGGTGTGCAAATATTATTTATACCAGCACTAAGGGGCTCTTTACATCAATCCGAGGCACCGGGGCTCTTTCTGAATTCTTATAAAAATAACATTTTAGTGTATAATTATGAGCCTGGTTTACTGAGATCCCGTCTGAGCCAACGGGGGAGCCCAGTCAGCGGAGGCTCATGTAAACAGCCCCTAAGAGTGATTTGTATTATCCGCATATTTAGCCAGATGGGACCATATTCTGTAATATACCTGTAGGTATATTTCATAGTATTTTTAATATGAGAGTACCATTATACCTTCACTGTTTCCGTGAATAATTTTAGAGGCGTCCAGTGTTTCTTTACGTCTTCCTTGGGCAGATCTTACTGGTATATCCGAGCATAGCTTCTCAGAGTTGTCCGGACATAATGTGGATGGTGTCATCTGTCTTATTGTTTCCTTCCTTTTTGAAAATCCTGCAAAGGTTTTTGGTTCAAGTCGCCTTCGTTTTTCAGACAACGCCTGCTCATTTAAACACAGATCAGCTAACTTCTCCTTATGGCGATGAACCTTTAATTCACGAAAAATTATTAATTTTTCACATGTCATTATGTCAATATTGCAAGGGACATGGTTATTAGCCTGCATTTATTCATCCTACTTATTGTTCTTCAATCAGTAGCGTAAAACACATTTATACAATGCACAGTCTTCTACATTGCACAAATACATTGCACATCAAAATGAATTTGTGAAATTTGTTGCACAAAATATTTAAGTATTTTTAGTAATGAATATTAACTTTTCCTCACCCTTTTTGACATTTTATCTATGTCGTGTTGAACACAGTCCAGTTCGTTTACCAATTCTACACGTTTGACATCAGCTTGAAGGTAACTATCTCTCAAAAGTTTTCGTTTCCTCGCGAGTTCGCCAATGGGACATCGCTTCCATGATGCAGCTTTGTTAGAAGACATCATTTACAAGAAAACATGGGATGATGAGAGTGTTTGATCAGCTTGAAATTATCTTTTATTGAACTTAAAACCGAGCTGGTAAATTCTATGGTTTCGATAAATTTCGGTCATACTATAGCTTTCACATTTTGAACCTAATCACCCCCAATTGCAATTTATTCACGAAGTCATAACTCCGCCCATTGGTGGCCATTTTGATATTTTTGGCGGACATTTTGAATTTTTTTACTGACAGATATATGGCCGAATTTTCGGGTGTTCTAGCCCGGCGTGAAAGTTGAATATCTTGCAAAGGAAGTTACCGAAATTCTATAAAAGAAATTATTAAGTCATTTTAAGTGATCTTTACAATGCAATCATAAACATTTGGGGTGAAATTTCGTGTCATAGGCACTTTAAGATTATCATTATAATTTATAACGGTGCACGGTTATAAATGGTGAAGCACGCCTGTCGAGTAGAAATTATAGAAAAGAGAAACGGAAACGATAAACATAATTACTCATTTAATTATTTTTCGCACTAATCTTTTCGTGTAAAGCACTAAAGTCAAAACGTTAAGAGCATATTAAAAATAAGTTTGAAAAAGTGAAATTTATCAATTGGTTATTTCTTTCGCTTTTAAATCAAAACTTTTTCAATAATTCTTAATTACGTATGTTTCACTGTGAATAATTTTTGTTATCGAAAATCTCCAAACATTTTATTCCTCATATATCATGTGCATTGACAATACATTCCATGCATGATGTATACTATAATATTCATATTACAGTATATATATATATATATATATATATATATATATATATATATATATATATATATATATATATATATATATATATATATATATATATATATATATATATAAACATGCAGTCAATGCATTATTTGAATATTACACTCCACTGAACTACAGCCAGGGTGCGATAATTCGCGTACCAACGTACCGGAGGTACGCCAAATTTATGGTCTGGTACTTCTTTGTTTTTAGGCAAGTACCACGTAGGTACGCGGAAATTTACTATTCGCGTACTTACATTTTCCTTCTAGCAATATCTAGCAAACCTGCCAAAGTATTCAAAACCGTGAAGAACTTTAGCTGAAGACATGTAACCGTGAAGAACTTTAGCTTCTAAACCGTGAAGAACTTTAAGCTGTTGACATTCGAGTCACAACGTCGACGCTTTGAAAACTGTTCAGTCTTATGTTGTACACATACCATAATTAGAGATTCATTTGTACAAAATTGCCCATACATTTTTTGCTTTTGGCCCAGTAAACTATACGTAGGTATAAAAACGCATGACTCGGAAGTAGTCTTAGGTACGCTTTGACTCTTAAGTTTGTACCAGACCAGGTACGCGGCAAAAGTTGTCGGAGTACCAGTCAGGTACGGCTAAAAATATTGAATTATCGCACCCTGCTACAGCGGTGCAGTTGAACTAATATACTTTCATCAAAACTAAGCAATTACTTGCACACCTTGCCCTAGATTAAGCTTTATTGCCCTTATTATTAATTTTAGCTGTAATTCTCCATGCATACATAGAAGTGCTTTGAAAATGGCCGTTTCAATGAAGCTTATATGTCTTAAACGTTAATTCAGCATGACAATTGCAAATACGATACCCTTCAAAACAAACACGAGTATTATACTTTGGAATCATAATATGCTCAAATAACATATATAAGTAGAACTCAAACAAAACTCCTGCATGTACAAGGTTGTTAATTTAAACCGAATGCCTGTATTTGCCTACAGAATTTTGTATAAAAAATTGCTGTTTAGCTAAGCCAAAGGAAGTTTTCCTAACACACACGCATTTGTTTGGCAAGCTGTCAGATGTTTTTAGCAAAACGTTTCAAACAATTTGCGTATGCGTCACGTGACATGCCACGAGAACAAAGCGAAGTGTATTGTCGGTTTGAATAAGAAATTAGGACTTTGTACTGATAAAGCAGGTGCATGAAGCCGTTCAATGTTTCAGTGTAGGCGGTATAATAATGAAAGCCTACGCGCTTGTATAGTAGATGAAATAAAATACATGGAATATTCATGTCAATTGCATGGGCGCCTACTTGAATGAAAGTAAGCTTGTCAAACTCATTAAAGGTTTTTTATATTTAAATAACAAATGAAATGCTCGTTGCGGTCAACCCGACAATCCACGAAGCCCGATAACATTTTTCTAGCTTTGAAGTGGATTGTATTGATACAATTCGTTGAGAAGTCTAACAGCGTGTTTGAAGCGCTGGATAAATGTTTATTTGACAGCTGATGAGACAAACTCGACCGTACTTTGCATATTCGTTCAATTAGCACGGATTCCAATTTCCTTCGTTTGTAATTTGTGCAACGCCGACGTGAGATTTCACAAAGATTCTTCGCATTAATTTGTAATATCGACTGCATGTGTGATTACTGAAAGTTTTCCTGCTGTCATTGGCGACAAGGTGGGCCGCATCGAAGTATTTCGCACTTCGCATATAACGGTTCTTGTATTTTATTGCCATTAGAACCGTTAATGCCAATAACAAACTTAACACAAGGATTTAATTTGGAGTTAAGCGAGTCGAAATAAAGCCGCGAGAGGAGCGAAGCAAGAGTAGTAGATGCCTCGTAATCGTAGTACAAAAAACACAAAATCGAAGTAAACAAATCACGGGCAAAGGTAAACGGAACGTCCCGACCAAAAAGCGAAATAATAACAAACGCGTATATATAGCATACTAAAGATCTAATCTGATGACAAAGGAATTATAAACAGAAGTCAAAGAAAACGTTGGCAAATTAAAGTAACCAAAGGCAAAGATTCATGGCGAACGAAAGTAGCGATATTTCTGCAACGAAATCTGACAAAATTTCCCAAGGCGGTCAAACCGAAGAACCGGACGATGATAAGACAAAAGCAAGCAAAAATTGGATCTGGCTAGATGATTGTTTCGGCGGCAAAAAGCTCGTAGTCTATAAGACGTTCTACTTCTTTTTCTACGGAGCCTTTGGCATCATAATCGCCTATCTGCCATTGTATTTCAAACAACTAGGCCTTCTTGCGAGCCACGTTGGGCTGCTAACGGGCGCACGACCGTTACTTCAGTCGGTAGGGGCTCCGTTTTGGGGAATGCTCGCCGATAAATTAAGGATTCGAAAGACGATTCTATTGGCAGGCTTGATCGCATTCACTTTCAAGACTGTGCTTTTCATGGGTTTTCGACCGAGCCATCAGACATGTGAAATCAATTATATCAACAAGACTCATAACATTAAAACGGTAACGGCGATTTCGCATAACGCCGACAAGTTTAAAAGAGGCTTTCACTTGTTCCCTATGACAGCGCAAGGCACGCAAAGCGATATATGCGAGAATGCTGCCTTCGTCACTAAACGGACACTAAACAACGAGATGTGTTTCATTTCCAATACACCAAACACAAGAGCAACTAAACAAAACACAAGAGAAACTAAACGAACCCCAAGAGACGTAGTATTTTCCAAGGTAACACGTAGACACGACAGGAAGCACTCCGAGAAGAGAGCGGATATTTTAAAGCGGAAAAAATCTCGTGATTTAAACGGGAAAACCATAGTCGAAGTACACAAAAACTTTACCATTATCTACACAAGACATAACGATAAAACTGAAATGCAGCATTTATTTATCATTTTTCTTTTGATGATTTTAATCGGCGAGTTCCTGGAGTCGCCAACGATGACCCTGACAGATGCTTCGTGTTTGAGCGTGTTGAAAGAGAAGAAGCATTACTACGGTCGGGTCAGACTGTGGGGATCTGTTGGACACGGTTTCTCGGTCCCTATAGTTGGCTTCTTTATCCACGGGTTCCGGCAAATCGTTTGCGGTGACACACACGGCGATTATTTCATTTTGTTTATCTTCTTCGCCGGCTTCGCTATCTTCGCCTTCCTAACCGCTACGAAATTCCGCTTCAGCTACGAAGACGAACAGCCGACATGGCGTTCAGCGATGTTTCTCATGCGTTTCCGATACGCGGTGTTTCTTCTGGTAGCTTTCTACCTCGGCTGCTGTCATGGTTTCTTGTTGAATTTCATCAACTGGTATATCGAAGATTTGGGCGCGACCACACTTATCATGGGGATTGCTGGCGGTTTGAAGAGCCTCACCGACGTCCTGGTGTTCTCTTTGGCCGGGTACGTCATAACAACGATCGGCTATGCAAACGTATTGAACTGCACGCTGTTCTCATACGCTCTATGTTTCTTGGGCTATTCCTACATGCAGAATCCTTGGTTCGCACTGCCTGTTGAGATCTTACAAGCCGGGAGTTACGCCGCTACATGGTCGGCATGTATATCATTTATCGCGAATGCTACTCCGATGCAATCACCCGCGACGATTCAAGGTACGAGATTTATTATTTTCACTTATTTCATTTTCAGAAATTTCGATAAACGATCTCGCCGAAAGCAAAAAACTGCTTGATCCGCAACAGGAATAAGGCCCTAAAGGCTGGCTTACACTATCAAAGTTTCTGTGATCATGCAGAGTAGGAATTAAATTTGCGTAGGTAAGTTTTGAAGGATTTGTAAGAAATGTTTGAGGGAATTGACTCGGTGTTCAGTTTAATGCATAGTCATTTCCTCAATGATTTCTTACAAATTCATCAAAATTTACGTATGCAAAGTTCCTACTGTGATCACAGAAACTTTGATTTACAGCCTCAATTTAATGTATTGATCAAGACGACGTTTACACTGCACCAGAGCGAAATAGTGCCGGCAGAATTTAGCTACGTGTATTGACATGCGCAAAGCCGTTACAGATTGTTTACAAATCAAATTAGCACTCATGTGATCCCGAATATTTCAAATAGAGCAAAGAAGTAATTGCAAGGAAAAGCATTCAGATTTACTGTTTTGAGAACTGAGATGCTTGGTTTGCAAGTGATACAAAAAAGTAACGGAGGGAAGCCTCCAAACTTGGGCAATTCTTTTTAATGCTAAATCGTACTTTTATACTCATGTTGATTTTAAATGAAGCACAAGCTATGTATAAAGCTATCTGCTGATATTATTTTTTAGTTTTTAAACGTCTACCCCGGTTGCATGCGATGTCACTTAATATCTAATTATAAAACAATATGGCGGGTGGCAGGATGTTTTGGTTGCAAATATCTCAAAAAAAATTAAGATAGTTTGGGAATATTTATAAACAGAATTTTTGAATAATCTCCACACTCAAATTAGGCAAACATGGTGCTTTTAAAGACAACTTGTTGTCTATTATATCCATCCTATGAAATCATAGTTTGAGTATCTATAAATGGTCGGTATGAATTCTAGGAGCCAATTTGAAGTAACAGTTTTGTACCACCTTGAAATGTAGGCGTTGAATACAAGACGTGGTATAATCTGTGATTTGCAATTGTATGTAAACATAGATTATAATCTATGATTTTAATCCCATGAGATTTTAATTATTCGTTTCTTTCTTATTATATATATATTATGAATTTCCGTCCTGCTTGCTTAATAAGGTTCTGGCCTGTTTTATACGTCGAATTTCGGTTGAAATTCTCGAAATTCTCCTTATATATATATATATATATATATATATATATATATATATATATATATATATATATATATATATATATATATATATATATATATATATATATATTTTTTTCATGTAGTTGCATCCCCAACAACGAAACCTTGGTAGACTTATATACTCCGTACTGTACCGTATATCAGCCTGTATCGTAAGGCGATGGACGTGATCATTTTAATTAAAAAACATTTTGTAGGAAATGGCTGAAATTTCACTTTCCAGGCTTTTAATTAGGTTTCAATATTTTCGGAACCGGGGAGGGGAAGGCATGCCCAATACCCCCAGAGAGTTCGTGGCTTTTTTTCATATGAAGACAAGTCTCCGCGTCCCCGCCAAATCATACAATCGCTCCGCGGTCCTTTGCTTGTCAAACAGATCTTGCCAAGTTAAAATCACTACTTGTTCGCCGCTTAAGTAAGAGGCATACCAAGTACAAGGCTTAATATGTTTCCTTCACTAGTTGACTTGCAAATCAATATGTACGGTCTAACAGTTCTCGGAGTTTTCAGTGTTCAGCCAAATCAGCGACAAAAATTGAAAAATTTCCGTACAATATCAAAGGTCAGTTAACGTACAACAGCATTTAACAGGAGGGAGCTA